CATTTTTATGAAATATTGGATAGGTATAATAAAATCCCGTATAAAAGTTATCGTTTCTTCCGTGAACGCATCTGAAACTAATATTCCTTGAAAGAAGAAAAGGGGTTTCAAATCCGTAAAAAGCTATTTTTTGTGTCGCCGTATCAATTTAACCCAAACATCTCTTGGGAATGATGAGAGAGGCATTCATGTTGAACTCACAGGAAGTTTGTAATGCGATTATTATACTTATCAGTACGAGATTATGGACGTCGATATTTAAACACCATGGGAGACCCGTTAAAAACAAAATTTGTCACCACACGATACAATAAAAAAAAGAAATGCGCTTCTTAATACTTTCAAAATTTCTCTCACCACGCAGGAATGATTTGTCTAATAATTTTTGCAGACAATAAGTATAATAATGAATAGTATATCATTTTTTAAAAAGGCAGCACCAAGAAATGTGATGTTTATCGAATAGTTTCAGTAAATTTCATATTTATATGGCGACCGACATCTCTGATAAGGGATATCGCGAGGATAACTTATTTTAAGTCAATCAACTTCAATTAGTATTTTTGCGGAAGAATGAGGTTTCATATCGTTCCCGTGGCTAAAGTAAGCCCACACACTGATTAAATGTGTGACTTTCCCGGCATAATAGTTATATCCGTGCCTTGAAACTGCTGATTATGACTAAGTTTTCAAAAGAAACACAGTGCATGGTACCGTAATAAGTAAAACTTCAAAAAAAAAAGATGACAAAAAACATTTTAAAACAAAATTGGCTATGGTATTCGAGATATCCTATCCCTTTTTTGACATATTTGAGGTCGGTTTTTGAATACAACACAGCACCACAAACCTTATGGGCCCATAAGGTTTATGGTTTTTGGACTAAAGGTTTATGAGTTCGGGATTGAGCGTATTAGCCTCTTTTGCGTGTAAATGTATTTCCAGAGATAATGCGTAATTCTTTTTAATTGTAGAATTTGGCGTGATAAGAGTATTTTGGAGTTCAGATTTATGATCAGCGACCCCAAAAACATGTAAGATCCCTACTTCCGGGTGCTGGTTTATGGTGCTGTGTTGTGAGTACCTATGTATATTCAAAAATCGAGAAATAAGCCAACTCCTAAATTTCAACATGCCATTTCTCAAAGACGAAAAATGATATCGGGATAAATCCAAATGCGTTATAAAGAGTAAGTATAGTACTTTGAGAACCCATTAATGGTTTTAGCAAAAAATTTGCCTGTCCATATAATATAACCTTAAATATGTCAAAAAATCGCGATTTCGGCACGTTTAAGTTAGAATAACTAGAAAACCAGAGTCAATTGAGAAATTTGGACCTAGGACTCGATACATTCGGGTTTCTGGGTTAGAGGGTCGGTCAAATTTTGTCGGCCTTTGTAATAAATAGATTCTTCTGAAGGTTTGCGACATTATTTAATGTTTTCTATATATCCGATATGTTTTTTCAGTAGTACTAATTGGATACATTATTTTTTCTTTATATTATTATTATTATTGAGAAAAACATATTAAAAAAATTATTAAAACTGTAAAAAACAAACGATATACGTTGCAGGATTGGCGCCAAGCATTCCTTTTAAATATTTAAAGACCTCTCTTGGTTAACCACAGGAGACAAGCCCTGTACGAGTATTATGTAAATTCAATTTAAAAATTAGTTTCAAGAATAGTTTACCCAGGTTTCCGTGGTATTTTTGCTAATATTAAACAGTACTTATACGAATTCGAATAAATCCGTCCTTCAAATGGCCACATAATCTTGCTTTAAGTCAATATTGATATACAGAGTGATACAACATCGATATACATGTCATTTTGTTCTCTCTTGAGACATAATTTGATTATTGGGATGAATAAATTAATCATAAAATACGTTTTCAGAAGGAAAAGAACATTTAAAATCAGTTTCGGTTTTCATATACCCACCAAATTTTTTTCTAAATTGCCATTTGGGTTAAATTTAATAAAGCGCCATATTGTAGTTACTGAAAGTTATGTTCCTCAAAATAACCTCAAAAGAGTAATAAAATGTTTCCCCAACGTGTGCGTTTTAAAATTGGTAGTTACCATTTAAAGCATTCAGGGAAAATATGGTCGAAGTCGTACAAATTTTTATGCATATTTAAATAAACAAACGTTATATGCATTTGTTAAAATCGTGTAGAGCCGAGATCTCATACTTCTATCTCAATTTTCTTGGAATCAGCTAATAAAGAACTGGTAAATGGTAAATAACATTCATAGTGAATGAATCAGTATATTCAAATGAAATTATGCAACAGTCGTTTCTCCAGTGGATTTACAGGAATTGGCCGACATAAAAATACCTGCACGGTGCATCCTGTTGGTTTTTCTAAAGTAAAACTGTGTGTGCAGTGTGAAGTGTTAAGTAAATATTTTCAAATGCAGTGTTTTGTTTCGCATTTTTTGGCACTTATTGATACTCATAAATATGCTCAATATAGTGTCAAGAATATTCTTAATTAGTGTAGGTAATGGATTTGCTTTGTATCAAGTGAAACAAATTGATTGCAGAGCGATCGATCTATCATTTTTCAAGTGGTTCTGGCACTTAAAACAAAAGCAAAAGTAACAATATTTTACGTGTAATGATGTTTAACAGCGCCATGCCCGAACAATTGAAGTATACCCTCACTTTTCACACAGCACCTGAAAGTTTTAGATATCTGTTTCTATGGATTTAAACTTTTTTGTTTTGTTTGTTTGGAGTAAGTACTTGAGCATACGCATACTTACTCCAAGAACGACAATAACAAAATTATGTATACGCTACTGGTTATTTATGTATGTTATTTACGGCGTGATTTATTATTTTTTAAATTAAATTTTTTAAGAAACGCAATCCCACTTTATTAAATAACTTCTTGTAATAGAAATGCTCGATTTTCCCCAGAAATATTCCATCGTCTCTATTGTTTTCAAATTTCTTTAATGCAAGCCTTCCTAATTTTCAAATAATAAATGGTCATATATTTTTTTTCTAACCAAAACAGTTACCATAAGATCGCAGCTAGGCGGAGTTCCAATGCGAGCTGTTAAGCCGGGTCCAGACGCTAGATTTTGCACGTCTTACCTGCGCAGTCATAAGACGGAACGGAAACGTTACAAATCAAGAGCGCCTACACAGTGCAGATATGTCTGTATTTATTTACTCAGTTTTCGCGGATTCGACCATGGACGAAGTACTGCTGTCAATTTTGATAAGAAAGAAAAAATAAATATTGTTTATAACTGTTTGTTTATTTGCTACTGCTTCAACCTCTCTGAATTTTCTACACGCACTGACTTTTTTGCGTAGTTGGCTCAGTTTTCCTGTGCGGTGTATAGTCTCCGAGCAGTTCTCAAAGCTGCACAGTTTTCCTGTCCACAAGCAACGTCTTGTCTGCAACGTCTTGAACTGCGCTGGTAAAACGTTGTGCAAAACTTAGCGTCTGGACCCGGCTTTAATGCCAACATTATTTTAATAAATTCGGATACGTTGCAAAATCTAAAAGGTGCAAATGCATTAAATGTACTATATTTTCTTGATTTTACAATTTGCATATACAATCATAAATTATTGAAACCTCTTGACTTAATGATATCAGCAATTAATTTAAACTTAATTTGTTAATCCACTCCATGATAAAAATCGAAGATGTTATCATACTACTCAAAGAAATATGCAAGTCTACTCCCTGTGAGGAAATACTTCACGAAATCAAATAACAAATTAATATTTCCCATATTTCAATATACTATTTTACAAATTAATAAAAAATGGAAAGCCCAACTTATACATGGTGTATGAAAAGTACCGTAAATTCACAGGCAAATAGAACATAGAATAAGTTATTTTCAAGGATATTTTCCTATGGACCAAGGGCCTATCGACTTCTCTTTTTGATATATTGAAATATGAAAAAATTTTACACAAATCTTTTCCAAAAAAAAATGGAAACCAATATAATGCACTAAAATTTGACACAGGTAAGTTTTTGAGGTGTTACATACCATTTGGCCAACATATTTGTGATATTTTTTTTAAAATCAAATTTTACACATTTTTTCCAAAAAAAGAAACCGCTGAAATTTGATACAGGTAAGTTTTTGAGGTGTTAAATACCATTTGGTTAACTTTTTTGATATGTGATTAGGATTGTTTTGTTTTAAACTTAGGTCTTGGCATTCTTAAATAAATTGTGTATTTTGGAAATATTTAGTTAAATGTTCTATAATTTGAGTAATTTTAAGCTAGCTTTATTTCAATGTTAAAAAGAGGAAAACAATAAATCAACAAACAAAGAGAAATATAAATGAGAACAAATGAAAATTGAACATCGTGATCAATTATCAAAAACAGTAGTATGTAAGCTCTACGAGAAAAAAATAGAAGAAAATCATTATAATAAATAATAAATCCTTAAGTCAACGCAATTTGGCTTTTAGATGTTACGCAGAAACGTATTAGAATTGATACACCACGATCATCTCTGTAAAGCTTATTTGGTGGCCTAAGAGAAATTCGAAATTTAAATCAATTTAAAGTCAATTAGTATCATATCAAAAAAAGTTACAAAATCTCGTAAATCAAGGCCTATATCAAAATTTTATGAGTGAAAAAAAATAAATAAAAAATAAAGAAATCTCTGATCTAAAAATCAATAACTGAACTAAAGGTAAACGTTGAGGGGTCAAGCGTATTACTACGACCTCCCTTCCCTTCATTCACGCAACAATTTTTGTGACCAAAATTACACTGAATACCTTGGAAACCAATGGAGTTATTAACAATAATTTTGGCACCCTGTATATTGAAAAAAAATTCAAACGCTTCAAAATCTTGGCGCCTCGCTTGGAGCACATGTGTTTTGGCCTGAGTTGGAGTCGTGATCTATCCGTGGCTAACATTTTTTTTGTTGGAGATCCCTTCATAAATAAAATCGCGTTTTTAAATAATAGACATAAAAACTTACCCAAAGTTGTTGTTTTGAAACACTATGGTCCGTATAGTACACTAGAGTCTCCCCAGCTAGGGGCCTAGACTCCCTTAATTTTGACGCTAGTAACATACACGCGGTGCCCAACAATTGTAGTTGGTTTTTCTTAATCGAACAACACATTAAAAATCTGTCCATATAGTTCATTGCTAAGGAGAAGACTTCTTCTTGACACTTTTGCTCCTCACACACCTGGAAAGAAGAACAAGGTCTCACAATCGGTTACATATTGGCTGAATTTCTAGTTTTAATTAAGGTTTTAAGAATTTTTTTAAATTTCAGATATTTTATCAGTAATCAATAGTGGCAAAATCGACGCCGTTATAAGAGCAGTTTTTAGGAAACTGTTACGTTAACATTAATTTTTACACTAATTTATTGAGAACTTATACTAGCTTAAATATGAAAAACTGACGTAGGAATGAGAAAAGCCAACATGACTGTTTCTCTAGTTCCGGAAATATTAACCACTTGTACCAACAGTTTCGTCATAAGCATTTCAGGTTCATCAGCACAAAAAAGATGCGATTCAAGGCTAAGAACAAAACATAAACGCTTATCTTTTGTTTGGCAGCACATTAAGTTCTTTTAATAACTAGAGATAATACTGGCACTACAATATCTAAATGTTTGTAATCAAAGCAATTAAGACTGAGAGATCAAAAATCCTCAAATAGAATTTTCCTAGATGATATAGAGTATCAATGGATTTGTAATAAAACTAATTGAATTAAGTAATAGATACGGTTGTAGACAATAAAAAAATTTTTCTAAAAAGCAATTAAAATGAAAAAATGTGTGTCCTATTTCATGCACAGCATGGTTATAAAAATTAAAAATTCCTAAGTAAAAATATAATAATTTTACTTAGCAAAGTCTTTGTTAGTTCTGTTATCAGCGGTGTGTATTTGTAGAATTATGTTCTCTACATAATTATAGTGTTGGTATTTGATATTTAGATGACATCTTGGATACATTCAGGAAACAATATATTTTTTTATTATTCGTAATTACATTACATACATAATTCCATTTTTAAAGGCGGTACGTAAAATATTCATTTTTCTCGCGGACTGTGTGCAGTACCTATGGAACGAAGTAAATTTTTTATAGTTTGCGATTTCGAAATCCCTTGTATACAAATATACTCTATTTAACATGTATTAAGCGAGGCAAAATTATTTTACAATTATAGAAAAAACTAAATTAATATTTTGGACCTCCCAGTGTGAGAGGTTTCGTTTTTTATACTTTGAACATGCATCAAGGTACCTGCTGTTAAAGTTCTCAAATAATTTGCATTGCCATTTACTAACTTCCTCTAAATAGTAAAGTATAAGAAATTATATCGAAGTAAAATCTAATTCTAATTATTTTACAAACTACTACTATGGAAAAGCATTACAATGTCTGTCGTTAATAGGAAGAAGCATTACGTAAATGCACAAAATTACCCTGTTACACAAAATTAAATGATTTTGTTATCTTCTATGAAACTTAAATACGTTTCCCGTAAACGATACAAAAGGAAAACTGTTTGGTACTGCTCGAAACCGTGTTGTGATTATATAATACGTGTGATTTTTTTTTTGAAACAATGTTCTATCATAAGTCCATGCATTAAAACAGTGACGTGTTCCATTACAGAACAATTCATTTAAAAAGTACTCGGTAATGTTCAGGGTTTTATATTATAACGGCAATTATGTGTGCATAGCATGTCGCGCACCAAGACGACGTCCGCCCCTTTAAAATTTAAAGGGCTGTCTGCGCATCCGAAAACGACATTTTAAAAGTCACCTCTCTTTCCGGAAATCGTTCAAGGTTAGTAAAAGGCCATCGCTCCAGCAAACTTTTGAGGAATTCATTTTGTTGCTAACTGCCCGTCCGGACGAATATACCGGTACCTCCTGACGAAAATTTTGCACTCAGCTGTTCAGCCAAGGCTGTTGACCCCAATACCAGACATTTAAACACCCAAACCTAACACACTGGAGGCCCCCGTCTATGCTAATAGTGCAAATTGGCCGTTCTAGCCTGGAGAAGAGCCGTTCCACTGCGTACGTGTCACTTTCCAGAGCCAGTGCTTATCATTCTAGATATTAGCCATCAGCGTTTTCATTTTCAAGCAACTTAGCAACAAGCTCGGATTACGTGGAAGCCATAATATTATTGAATAATCCTAAAGGGGCGATTTAAATTTTAAATATGCGAAACTGGAGCAGTTTATAATCTTATTCAAACAGCCAGGAAGGTTTTTATAAGTGTGCATGAACTGGAACATTTTGATTTACTTTTTAAATAGCCAGAACCCGTGAGCTGTGACACGGAAGGCATTTTAAAGTGATTTATGAACCGTTTTTGCCAACAATAATGTCTTAATATTGTAGGAATAACATCGATTTTTAGTTTAGAATTAATCGGGGAATTATAAAATTTGTCATTGCTCAGAATGTCAATAGAGAGAGCATTTTAAAATAATTTTTGCCGGCATTTCAACCATCAAAACTTCTCGCCCGGCGCCACGTTTTATCATATAGTACGTTTCGCCAAAATACAGCGCTACGCAACAAAGGGAAATTTCGGAACAACTTTGGCTGGTCAGCTATTTAATAATTTTTTGCCTAGCTAAGCTTACCTCCATCATCCATTCGGCGACGATTTTTCTCATCTCCGTGGTGACTTCTTTCTGAACGACGAAAGAGGCCGGGTACGGTAACACATATCTATCCTCCGTTTTGAGCAGATTCTTAAGTACTCTGTCTTGGAGTAGAGTGGGATCATCATAAGCCTTAGTTTCATTTTCTGCTGATTGTTCGCAACAGTACAAGTCCATGTTCCTCCGATGCAGTATTTCTCTCAGTCACACGTTACAAACACTTATCACACTAAGTAAAATCGAAAAAAAATATCACAAGTTACTCATTAGTTTTTGTAGGGCTTAGTTCCCTTCTATGTATTTCTTTTTGGTGCTATCGTTAAAGCTCTGTAGTTGTTGTTGCTTCTGATGTAAAGTGAGCAATGTGAGAATTGCCATTGCCAGAGCCGAAACAGACGTTCAACAGGATGAGATTTCGATAGTGGGGGCCCCCTACTACTCTGCGACGTTCATCAACGAGCTTTCGCCTATTGCCTGTACAACCTGTTCTCAGGACTTAGTGCAACGTTGCCAGATTGATGCGGAGTATTTATAAACCCATAAATATTTTCTTTAGGAGTACATAACTTCTTGGATCCTGCTTGAAAAGAATATTCGTATCTATGATGACCCAATCAGCTGTTTGATAAAAGGCAGTGTATTTTCATGCAAAGATTTGTAATGTAAATTGTTTGTTCTCTTTAAAAATCTGATACTAAACCGATCAGTTTATGCCTGGTTCACTCGGCGACTTTATCTTTTAAACATTTACCTTATATTTAAAAGTTAAAAGTACGTGACTGCATGAGACGTTATATCGTTTAAACATGTTTTTTTTTCTGATTGCACGAACGTTGGTTTGGTTTCTTGTTAAAGAAAATGTTTTGCAGAAAAAATGTATTTGTTTAGTAGACCAGCCGTTAGTAGAAAGCGCCCTAGTGAACCAAGTCAAAAATATATTTTAGTTTCTTTGTCTCTTACAGTCATTTAACATTTACGTATTTGTTAAATTAAATTCATATCTTCATTACTATCAGAACAAGTCATTATTTAACCTTAGTCCTTAAAACCACTGTCAGAAGTAATTAGGTATTGTATATTTTCTTTTATTTTGTATAAATTGTCTGTAGTAGGAAGGAAGGGGTCCAAGAATCTAGATTTTAAACTATCCTTTTAGTCTTTTTTTTCCCAAATATTGAAATTGTATTAATGACTTGTAGTAAACATCTACTTATATATACCCGGACTAAATTTCGAAAGATAATGAATTTAGTTTTATAGATAATTTGAATCTGAATAATTATAAAAAATATATATATCTTCGAATTTACTATATTCCAATCTTTTGAAGTTATATCATGTTTTTATGACACAAATCCAGTAAGTAAACGTTATTATTACAGAATATTTTATCAACAAATCTACATATACCTATATTGTCAATAGAAATAACAGGTCATGAGAACAATACACTGATAATATATTATATTCAAATAATAAGAAATTAATGTTATGTTTTGTTTAAAAGGAAATAATTGTGTCTTTCAACACAGTACAATTAGGTCGACATATTATTATAATTCATTACAGTACTTTTAAACATTGGAAATGAAGTAAATAAAAGCATTTAAATGAATACATTCATTATAAATGTGACAAGTTGAAATGTTTTTCTGGAAATATGTGTAATTGAAGTTTTATTACTATTTGATTCTTTCCAGCAAAGTAATATTTATTTCTTTAAACATGTTTCATACTCCTTAATATTTATGTCAGTTTCACCTCAAATTCAAGTTTCGCAACAAATGCAACTTTTATTCATTGTACAGGATCAAAAGGACAGTTAAATTGCTTTTCTGGGAGTACCTATTTATTCACATTTCTGGCCACTAAGATACCATCATTCAGCATTCTTTTAATTTAAACTTTACCTGACTGCTAGGAGGAACAGGTATGGGATAATATAGGAACTGATATAACAGTACCTTTGAAAATTTACAGGTACATCAGTTATGTTAAAGAAATGAGGAAAATGAAAATGGAAATGTTATTCAATGAAATAGATAATCAATCTCAACGACGAGGTAGTAATAAAATATTTACTTATATGTTTCTATGAAAGCTGAATAAACAAAACAAAAAACTCACATTTGAATATAAATCGTTTTCTATTTAAAGTTTTGATAAAAACGTAAACGTTAATTTTATAATTTGTTTCAATGAGTAGTTGTGAAGAATTATTATCTACTTCTTCAGTGTGTTATTATTTAAAACTTTTCTTTTCCAGTATGGCAAAAATACTCAATTAAATAATGAAGTAATTATAGAGAATAAAGTGTCATTCTTCGTCCCCATAGATTAAGAGGACTTTTAATTTTCAACAAACCAAACGAACATTTATTACAGAAAATCAAATGATTGCTAATAAAAGCTAGGGAGAGAAAGGGCATACATAATGTCACATGGAAATAACTATAAAATTGGTAATGGATGAATACGTCAATTGACAGAATGAATAGAAGACTATTAACATCTGAGTCACCAGAGGGAGCAACAGATGATGTCATGAAACCGGGAAATTTAAATTTTCATACGTTTTGAGTATTCAAACGGAAGAGAGACAAGTGTGGAGAGCTTACAAAAGATTTTTTTATTCTAACAATGAATCTATAAAAATATGCATATTTAATCTAAAATACGGAAAACTAAGTCATTCTAAAATACAAAATTTATATTCAAATGTAATAATCCAAAATTACTTTTAAAAAAGTTGACAATATTCAGGTTTATGAAAATCCTATTGTAACCTTACTATTAGACTATAAATGTAGCGAAAATGTTAACTTTTACTTTCATTTTTGCATTTTCCGGATGGTGAATAATGCTGTTGGCCATGTTGTCTTTTGTTGTTACTGTAGTTTTTAACAATACAACTTCAACTCATTATTTCAAATTTCCAAATAATAAAAAAAAAATGGGAAAGAAAGAAAACAATACTATATTGAAAACCAACATTTGACAACTGACAACCATTTTCTGAAGGATATCTTCTTATTTTTATCTACTCCTGGAACTAAATATGGCGCTACCTAAGAAGTAGTTGGATTTTGATTTTTCCTTGATCGATGAGGTAAACTTACAGTGTTAAAAAGTAATACCATCTACTTTTAGTACTTTTTGCTTATGTTAAATCATTATAAGTATAAGAATTTTAATCAGCAATTCCGATTAATCGACAAACTTAGCTCTAGGGATTAAAATCTGCACTACAGTCCCTTGGTATATTATAGGTACCTACTAATTCAACAAAGTGAGAAAATCGAAATTTTGACTAATACTTTTTGAGGCTTTCTGACACATATCTATTTTAGAATTGCGTACTACCATCCATCCAAGTACTAACCATTAAATGAACGAAGAATATATATTTGGTATCAGATAAATATGGATGTATACAATGGTAAAGATTATTTCAAAATTTTTGGAAATCTATGTCAAAATTTCAATTCCTTAATTTTTATAAATTGATCATGTTTGCATTTTCAAACTAGGAGTCACTGTTTAAAAAAATCGACCTGTAGTCAATTTTTGTAGATTTTTGTTTCAAAGAATGCGTTGACCAAATAAAAATCGACTGATACGAGGGATTCATACTAAATCAAATGGCTTTCAAAGTTTGAGAAAAAATAAATAAAAACCAAAAAAAATTTTTCAAGAGCTTATATCTAAATAGGCCAGGAAAATAAGCTGGGAAATGACCATTTCGCGACTTTTTGTTTCGGCAAGCTGAATTTACCATTATAGATGCCAAATATTATGTACAATAACATATTAGTTTCCACAGTCATAAAAATGGGGGGAAGATTGTTTACAGGGTGGTTAATTGTATAATTGTTACGTAAATTCACGTTTTTCGTTTATAACATTTTTCCACGAGAAAAAAGTAAGGTACTTTTTTTTCGTCTTCAAAAGACCTACAAAACTAGCCCTCGAGCGTTAAAAAATATTGATTAGATCAAAAGTTATAAACAGAAGAATTTTATTTATGACTTTTGAATTAAACATTTATAAACTGCGTTATTATTACCACAACGTTTTGGCATCGCATCTCTCATTCGTTATTACTGTCTAGTAACTCACACGAAATCTGGAATCGGTAAGTTGAATAGTTTACAAGTTATGGCCTTATAAGCAAATTAACTAATTTATTAGTCTGGATCCCGAGGATCTTCCACAATCGCACTAATTTTTTTCATGGTAGATTATATTGTAGATGTATGTAGATATATTGAAGTCTATAATTTTTTTTAATTTCAAATTTGCAACCAGGATTTTTTTTTTATTTTTTAGCCTTAGCTGCAAAATGAAATATACGACGCATGAGCGTGATATAGTTATATATTATTACATATTCGGAAAGCTTATGAAATGAGCTTTAAGTTAAAAAAAAATCGTCAAGATTCGTTGAAAAACAACGGAGTTACAGACTGTCAAAGTTGACGGCCTATTGTTAAACAAATTAGGTTGGTAGCGGCAAAAAAAAAACCTGTCATAACTGGTAACCCGAGTACTGCCCCAGGTAAAAATATTTTATTTGTGGAAGTATGTTAAGTGCATAAGAAATATTGTCAAAAGTCAGTGGGTCGCTTGATTTTCGGCGAGCCGTGGCGCGGCGGAAGGGTGGGGGAAGCGAACGACAGCGAGTCCGAAGAAAATGACGATAATATTCATAGTCCTGCCGTTAAATAAGCGAAATTCGCTTGAAAATAATATATTTGACAGTCTGTAACTCCGTTGTTTTTCAACGAATCTTGACGATTTTTTTTTAACTTAAAGCTCTTTTCATAAGCTTTCCGAATATGTAATAATATATAACTATATCACGCTCGTGCGTCGTATATTTCATTTTGCAACTAAGGCTAAAAAATAAAAAAAATTCCAGGTTGCAAATTTGAAATTAAAAAAAAAATATAGATTTCAATGTATTATTATGAAATCTACCATGAAAAAAATCAGTGCGATTGTGGAAGATCCTCGGGATCGTCCAGACTAATAATTAGTTAATTTGTTTATAAGGCCATAACTTGTAAACTATTCAACTTACCGATTCCAGATTTCGTGTGAGTTATTAGACAGTGATAAGGAATGAGAGGATGCGATGCCAAAACGTTCTGGTAATAATAACACAGTTTATAAATGTTTAATTCAAAAGTCATAAATAAGCTTCTTCTGTTTATAACTTTTGATCTAATCAATATTTTTTGACGCTCGAGGGTTAGTTTTGTAGGTCTTTTGAAGACGAAAAAAAAGTACTTTACTGGTTTCTCGTGGAAATGAACGAAAAAAGTTATAAGCGAATAACGTGAATTTA